TACGTGCTCCCCTCTCCCTTCGCAGCACGATGGTGGCACTGGGGCAGTTTTGCAATGACCAAACCTAACACTGCATTTCTCCTCAAAACACCTTGCCTTTAGTTGCATAGTGGCAAATAGAGCATGACTGCCTTCTTCAAATAGCTCAAACAACACTTGACACAAGCGCAAATCAATAATAATAATTAAAAAAAAAAAAAAGCAAGAACATACTTTCTGCAAGCGGCACAAGAGAAGACCCTTACCCCACGGGCCAAGGCTCTGCTCTGGCTCCCACTTTTTAAGGAGCTCTAACGAGCTTCCTGAAGCCGGGCCCTCAGAGACCCCAGGGCAAAGAGGAGCCACGCCAGAAGAATATAAGAATAATAATAAAAATCACCAAATGTGAAATTCACCTTCCTTCCCCAAGCAGCGTGGGAGGCAAGGGGCACCACGCCGGGGCCATCGCTGAAATGGAGCCCGCGCGGCGCGGCGGGGTGGGGCCAGCGCGGCCGTTAGGGGCGTTAGGGCCGGTAGGGCCCGAGGGCCGTTAGGGCCGTTGAGGCTCGCGAGCGCCCTCAGGCCCCTCAGGCGAGTGACACGGGGTGCGATGCGGTGTGCGCAGCCTTTTGCTTTTTTAATAAATCAGCAATTGTTGGGGAGTGTGGGCTAGCTGTTCATACAGCTAACCTGAGCGCGTGGAGAGCCTTGACTAAAGGTATAAATGGCCTGAGAAGGGACGGCCATCTCTCTTCATATATGAGATTTGGCCTGTTACGTAGTTACCCCTCACTGCAGCCTTTAGAGAAGAAGTGTCAAACATGAGCAACAGCATGAGAGGCAACGACAGGAGTCGGTCAAAAAGCCAGAGATAGGTGAGTCAGTGATGATTGGGGAGCGCTTCCTGCTCTGTTTTCCTTGTGTAGCGTATTTGCTCCCTAGGAAGGGGTGCTTTGCATAAAGTGATTAAAAGTTAATGGAGAAAAACTGCTGAGAATAAGACATGGTCCGCTTTTGGCTTTATATATAATGAAAGATCTCTTACAAAGAAATGTATGTTATGCCAGTAAGACTGTCTTTGGGTTACTGCACAGACTGGCTTTACACATGTAAAAACATTATGGGAAAAACAAAAGTTCAAAGATGCTGAAAAAAAGTAACATAAAATGGAGGATTCAGCCTATTTTTATTGAAAGGCTCTTGTAATGAAATTTTATTTAACCTAATAACACATTTTTTCAGAGGATAAAAGAGAGATCCTGTAGAAACTAGTTACTGGGAAATCCACATAAAAATGGCTTTCTCCATTACTATTCTGTCATTAAAAAGGCGGGGGGGGGAGGTATTTCTGTGACTAATGTGAATTTAACCTGGCTTATATTTTTTAAAAGCAGTGATATTATGTACTGCTTAATCTTTTATTTTTTCTAAGGACCAAAAAGTCAAATGGCAAGTATTGTCTACCATTTAGGACTGCAGCCTGAGCAGTAATTCTGCAAGTTAAAAAATATTCACCTCTGAGCTGCAAAATCAGTCTGTTTCTGAATTTATTCTTGCTTTCTCTACTGAGACTACATGGCTCCTCCTTTTAACAGGATATGTGTGTATTTATTTCATCAAGTTAATTATCTGCTCTGAATTAAACAGAAATCATGAGCAAGTACTTGTTTATACGTTAATATGGAATACTAATTTGTGCTGTATGGTTGTTATATGTAACATTTTATATTAGGATATTGGGAAAGATTCTGGTAGTTCACTAGGTAATTATTCAAAAAAAATCTTGTTACACATTGTTCACTATTCTATCTCTGTGGCATGATCATCTTACATGCGGCCACAGCAAGCTACTTGGTCATTTACTCTCAGGTGAATCAAATTTCCTGAAGAAAAATGGTTAAATAAATACTCATAAAGTCAAAAATACAAAACTGCCACCTATCTCACAGTGACTGCTTACATTTGCAGCTTGATAACCTTTTCTTAGTTTGTTCCTTTCCTTATCATTTATTTGCTGTATGTAGCAGTCTCACAGATTCAAAACATTGCTTCTGTTCAGAAATCTGTATTGAGCAGTGTGATTGAAGTGCAAAAGGGGACTATGTCTAATTTTTATTTTCTAGCAGTAAAATAATTATTGGCAATATTTTTACCCTCTGTGAAAGTCCAATTTGAAAAGATGTCAAACCAGACAATAACACCGATTTCTGTCAAATCAGATCAGACTTTCTGTCTAGCCCTCTGCTCCTTACAGTAACAAGTATCGCGTTATTTCAAAGAACGGTCGATAGCAATCCTATTTCCAAAATCAGAAACACACTTGAACCAGGATTGAATGCAATCAAGAAGCTGCCATTTTTAATACTAGCCATATCGGTGCAAATTGGGATCAAATGTGTTTGATATCATTTGTTGTGATAAAATCATTTTGTAGAGTAAAACATCCTTATAGTAATATGCAAACCATGACTTCAATTGTTGCAGTCAGTTTGTTGTTTTGGACATTAGATGAACAATAGGCAAAATAATCCATACTCTTATGAGTTTCAAGCAATATAGTTTTTGCTATTACAAGCATGCGAAGGAACAAATTCATAACAAAATACTTCAGATAGATAAATGTTTTACTGTAAAGGAGAATGAAAGTAAAAATTATGACAACTGCTTTTGCTAGAGTGTGTAACCATGGAGAGTAGCTTTCTATAGGTTTGAATGACTTAAATAAATATGAAAGTACTGGTTATCTGAAGGCAAGACAAGGATATGTGTATAGGTATCTGTCGAGATAAGTCTACATCAAATGAGAACTGCAGAAGAATTGTGCAACATTGCAGAATAACTGAATAAAGTCTTCAACACTGTAGTAGCTTCTGGAAATTCCAATAGTATAATTTGTGTCCTGTTTGGGTGAAGGAGGAAGAAATATTTTGAAGTCAATTTAATGCATGTGCCAGGTGCTTAGATTAGCGGCTCTGAAGAATGAAGTCCGGTGCACAGAATGGCATGGCTGTCCTATTCTGTCTCATTCTGAAAGTTATGCTTTCTTTAGAGACAAGAGGGTAACTTAATCTCTGTGTTCATTCAGATCCTGGCTCAAAGCCTACTGAATCAGGGAGACAAGATTCACTATTTTCAGTAGGCTGTGGTGTCAGCCTTCTGTCCTTTGGCCAGTTCCTGCAAATCATTTCTCTGGTGAATAATTCTGAGTAAGATGTTTTAGGATTGCACACTTTGATTTTTTTTTCTTTTGTTTTAAGACCAGAAGTTAAAAGAAATGCTGCATTTAGTACTCTAGATGTGGATACGTATCCACTAGAAGTAGTGGAAGAACCCTCTGACACATTTCTTATTTGTGACAGTTTTGAAAACATAATTTGTCTTGCATTCTTTCAAATCTTGTTTGAAATTATTCCTTCCCCCTTTTTATAGTAAAATATTGCCTTTTCAGCATGTTTACCTCTCTTAATGCATTGGAGAGATACCCTTATCTTGCAAAAACCTTAGACTGGCTACTGCAGCTAGTCAGGCCAAGCAGAGCACTGTGGGTGGAATAATCACCGAAGGAAAGAATAGCACTGTTAAGGAAAGAATCAAACTTCTATATCACTAATCCGACAAGAAGAAATAAAGTAGTCCTGATTTTACCTAAATCAATTATGGTTTTGATATTGTCTTCAGTGGGGCTGGTATTTTATCAAGAATATTTAGTTAATGTCTTTTTCTGTTTAAATCAGGTGAGAGATAGCAGTGCATCAGCAATAATTTAGACTAGAAGTAAGTATTTAAGAATTAAAATAGGAGGAGCGGGAAACCAGTGTATTCTAGAATGTAGTGATTTATGAAAATCAGTTATAGCACATAGATCTTTCTCTTGGCCATAAATACCACCAAGTTCTTAACCGATTTGAATAACATTGTAGTGTTTGTAATGTATTCCTATGGATAACAGGAGGAAATCGCACTATAGATGTGATATAAATAATTGCTTTCCTATGCTCATTTAACTTTCTGCAATACTAATTACACATAAGGCTTAGTTTAAGCATTTTGCAATATGCTTAAATTTCTGATCAAGCTGATTAGAATTAAGTCCTCCATGGTAACCTTTTTCAATAGAATTTTACAACATGCAATAAAACTGTTGTTTAAACAATACCCCCCATAACTGCCACCAATAAATGATACCTTTTTATTGCAATTAGTACACTCTTGGTTACTGGTTTCCAGAGATCGCTACAGTAATCTGTATGTAACTTTGTGTTATGTTGTTAATAATTGTATGGTTTTCTTTTTAGAATTCAGAAACAGAAGAGTTTAAGAAAACATGCAAAATGCTGAGGATACATGTAAGTGAAATATTTAATGTCCATCATTCATAAAAGTTACATTGTTTACATAAGGTTCATTAGTATATAATAAAAATGTCATCTTAATGAAAGATTTTCTGGCAAGTCTTTTATATGTTAATTTGTTTAACGTAAGCTTTGGCTATACAGCTAAATAGGAATATATTTTTTAAAACCTTTCTGCAAATACTTGCTTAACAGTTACAAAACCTCATTACTAAGAATTGGTTATTGTTACGTTTGTTTGTTGGCTTGTAAAAATCATCTGTGATTTGCACTGGGAATCGTAGGACTGACTTTTTGTGACATGCTCGTTCATTGCATAGTGACTATGTAAACAGCTTGAGGATCTACAAATTATATCCTAGTACTCTAAAAGTCTTTTTTTGATTTTATGTATCATACTACTTATGATTCCTTATTTTGATGAAGAATTTAGGAGTTGTTTTATTGTTGGTGATTATGGATTTTTTTAAACATAACAGTTTTATACAACAAGTTAAAAAATTAAGAAGTAGATACCATGAGAAATAGTTTTACGGAGTGCAGCTGTATGGCTACCTCCTCCTTTTGATTTGCTATATGTAAAGTATTGGAACTGCGCTTACTGCTTTTCAAAGGTAAGCCTAAATTAATTGTAGCAATTAGCTGTGTGTTTACATAAAATTAACTATGTTTGCATCAAATAAAATGTTTATTAATGAAAGCTATTATACAAGAAACATCAAAGAGAAATTCATCATACAGAAATGTACACTATGTGTGACAGATGGAAAAGTGCATGCAGATTTGTCTCATTTTTGAAAAAAAAAAGAAGTCAGAAACAATAGTACTAAAATTACTGGGTTTTGATTCCTATGATCTTGAATGAGTGAAAAGTTCTTGTTTAATTTACAAAAATCCATTTAACAGATAAGACTAATACACATTAGCAAGCAAGTGGAATGGATGCACTTGGATTTTATTTTACAAATACTTGTGCTTGACAAATGTGATTTTTTTTTTAAAGAAAACTTTTCTTCGAATATGGGCTGGGTAGATTGCTGCCAGGTTGCTCTGGTTTTATACATAGTTTATCTAAATTTGTTTTTAATATCATACAATTTGTTGAAGCCTTCGGTTCTGTTAATTAGACACCATAAAATAACATATGTTCTGTTAACATTCAGGAAATGACATCAAGTCTTTTATTTTTATTTTTTGGCTCAATAGATTTTTTTAAAATGTATGATTATCATAACCTAATATTGTCTTTGTCTTCACTGCAGTGGATTTCCGATCAAACTTTCCCCTTCTTTTAATACTTTAGGGAATTTTCAAACGTCGGGATGTTTGGCTGTAATGCCCCATGATTTGTTCTCCCTGAAAGAAATCATAGTGACAATTTATTAAACTACAGAGCAACCTGGCTTTTAGGGGTCTGCAATTCTATTTTGTGTTAAATATACCTAGCATTAAATCCTGATTCATTTCATCATATTATTTAGGTTATATTTGTCATGCAATTACTTTAGCTCCTAGTTTTCTGGGAGTTTTAGAAGTCTAAAACAGGGTTTCAGTATCAAATCAGTGGGGCATTATTTTGCATGTTTAAAAAAGGGGTTAAAAAGGCTAACATTTAAATTGCATCAGCAGTAGCATATACATTTAATATGAAGAAACTGAAAACCTAAGAGGAAATCATATTCTAAAATATTTATAAGGCTGTGTTCCTGTGTATAGTACCAATTGTTCACAGATACCGTAAAAGCAAAGAGACACACTGGTACATGGAGACTTTAAATTAAAAATAATAATAATAAAAAAACTGATGGGAAATAAAACTCCTTAGATTCAAAATGGTTTATTCACACAAATTTAATAGGATATATCACAATTGTTTGGTCCATAAATATTTAGGGGAAATATTTTCTATACAATGCATTTATCAATAAACAAAGAAACATGGACAATTTTGCTAGACCACTTACTGTACTATAAACACGAAGCTCAATATATAAGATTATTGAATTTATCAACTATATCTGAAAGAGTGCACAACTGCTTTCTATGACATGTTTGTCCCCTCTAACAGGATACACCATAAAAAGAGTTTCAGAAATAAGAGGTAAAACAGTACAAAACTAGTGAGGTGTCAAAAGGGCTTAAAACAGTTAATTTAACAAACAACACATATATCCTGATTTTTCACAAACTTACTCCCAAGGTATATCATAAGGCACATAGTAGAACTGAGTTTTAATTAGTCTACTTAATAAAGTAGATCTCTAGTACCATATATTGTTCTGTCAAAGAACAAAATTTATAAGTTTCAATATTTTTACCTGTAGAAGTGTATTAATAAAGATCTCAGCCTTACCAAGGTTGTTTGGTCTGGTTAGTGGTAAATGCCCATAAGGTAATAGAAATAGGAAAAGTCAAGATTTAATATCCATAGAAGATGATAACCATACTTGCTAAATATATAATGGCAAACACACCTTTCTTCTATTACAGTGTTAACATCTCTCCCATCATCTTTTTTTTTAAAAAATAAGCTACTTTTCTGTGCTAATTTTCTAAAAACCCTGAGCAAAAATTACAATAATGCACTTTAATGTGGGCAGTGAACTGTCAATATGTAACCACACATTTATACAGCCAGAAAGGACACCTTTAAAATATATTAAATAGCCACTTTGACCACCAAAGAAGAGATTTGATGGTGTCTAAAAAGTGGGGTAAATGTGCAAAGTTATTCTTAACAATCCACTAAAAGCAAGACATAGATCTTGACTGGTTTTTGTTTGTTTTTGTTTCTGAGACTCTTCACAATCTAATTGATGTTTAACTACATTAAAAGGATACAAATGAACATTCACCACTGCCCAGACCATTCAGACTTTTAGCTTAAATAAAATTAAAAAAGAAAGGTCATTACTGTAAACTAAGAAATGTATTCAGATCAGCATCCACAAGGCTTCTGAGTTTATCTGCTTTAAAATTAACCACCGCCAATTTGCAATTTTGCAAGAATTTTTACTAGCACTTTTCTCTTTTATACAAAGTTTAAAAGGCTAATGTATATATTAGAAATAGTAATGAATTAATTTTTTTTAAATCATGTGTTAAATGAAGCATCTGATACAATCTCAAAAAGCATCTAAGTAAAATGAAGTAGTAACAAATAAATTGTACTAAAATTATTTTCCTTAAACATCTTAATAAATCATATTTTGCTTATTTCCATCTTCCCTGAAAAAAGTACAATTCACCAAAAACTCATTTTAAAACTCCGCATGAGTGTATGTCCTTAGAAATCATTTAGTGCTCACTAATGTAGTTGGCCAGCTTCCTTTTTGTTTTAATGGTTCAGGATCAGGGCTGTTCAGTGAACTCTGTTGATTTTTGTTTGGCTTGGTTTTTAATTCAAATCAATGTTGTTTGGCAGAGAAAAATGCAAAGCCCTTTCTATGGAAGATTTTAAATCGATTAGACTCCCCACTAGAGGTTTTTTTCTGTTATCATTGCTTTCGTAATACCCTTCTAAGATTTATTTCATTTGGGGAGGTGTTTTGCCCATCTTGCCTCCTTAACGTGCAAGAGGAAAATTCTCAGGGCAGCAGCCTGATCCTGCAGTCCTTGCCCACGTGCCTCTCCCACGGGACCCCTCTCCGGGCACAGTTTTCAGTGGTGTCCAAGGACATTCCAGCTGGGAGAGCAACAGGCCAAGAAGCATTTATCTAGCCCAGTGGCAATTCCCAGGGCACAAGAAGGGTCAGGTTAGGACTACGAATACATTATTAATTAAAAAAAAAAAAAAAAAGGCAGTGGCATTTTCAGTCCACTAGTCTATTTTAATTATTTATGCAATTCAATTAGTGTTTCTTTTTAAAAAAAAAAAAAAACTTTAAGATGTGTTATAGAGTTAGAGTTAGAAAGTTCTTAAAGTTAGAGTTCTTAAATATCGTGAGCATACGGCCCTGAAGCAACATTCTTTTGGTTTTCATTTAAGTCATTTTTATCTGGTTGTCAGAGAGAGAAAAGAGATTTCTGTCTTTCTGTGGTAGAATTCCTTTTATTCCTTTTTTTTTTTTTCAAGATTCTGGAAATAAGTAACATACAATTTTAAGAGGCACTTATTAGAATGATTCATAACCTTCTCTTCAGTTATCTGATGAATTAAAAAAAATGTGAATACAGTTTTCAACAATAAATGTCCATTTATTATAGTGACATGTTACTTCAAACTCATTTGCCAAGTGGCTGCAGATGCTACACATCAAGCTGTTTATTTTCCCAAATATTTTGTGGGTTTGTTTGTTTAAAAAAAAAGGCTTGAAAATAATAATAATAATAATAATAAAGAAGAGTAAGAATAATCAAAAAAAAAGTTAGAAAAGGTTCGTTAAGGTAGTTTGTGAGGGGCTTCCGGGTTCGTGGCTGTCCAAGTTAGAGGTCACTGATGTCACTACAGTGATAGTGGGATTGGTCAGGTCTGTTAAAGTGGTCGCAGTGCCGGGTGGAGTGAGAGCGCCGCTGTCTGCTGAGGGCGCTGCCGGAAGCGACGGGCCGTCAGCTTTATCGACACCCCCATTCTCCTGCCGCAAAAGGTTCCTTCTGAATTTGGCTCTCGCGTTTTGAAACCAAACCTGCAAACCAATCCCAATTGATTGCTTTACCGATGTTTGTCATCGTTGTTTTTTTTGTCTTTGTTCTTGCTCCTACGTATTTTTTGATGTTTGCTTTTGTTTGGCAAATCACCTAGGTCACTCTGCGGCTTCATTTGCTGCTGTTTATCCTGCCTCTGTCATAGAAAGGCCCCAGTACACAGGGCCACCACTACGGGTGCTCACTGGAACTTTGCAGCCCAATGTGCAGACCTCGTAGAGCAAACTAGACGGAAATCTGCTCACTCACTCATACAAGGAAATCTGATGGCCAAGGGAGTTGGATAGGTTTGGGTTTTCTAGCTCAAGAACCCTGGTAAATGGTACCAGGGCAAAGAGTGAATGAGCAGATTTTTGCTGAGGCTGAAATTTTGTCTTGATCAGTTGAAAACACTGCAGTAATTATACCATCCCTATTATATAATTGTTGATATGGGTCACCTAGTCTTTCTGTTTGATAAGGCTCAGTGAAAACAGTTTGGGTGGCATGTAACACATTAAGCAATTGAGGCTAATAGTTTTTCCCTTCTGCCTTGATCATTGCCCTTCTTTCACACATACCTCACCTTAACATAAATGAACTAGTACACACACACAGGGACTTTTAAAACATTATTTCCTGGGCTGTCTTTCCCTGGGAAGGGACATTTTACTGTGGAAGCCCATGATGATAACTGTCTAGCAGGCATTGAGAAAGGGAGGAGGCTGGTTCTGGATGATCAAAACAGCCAAAACTCTATATTTGGGGGTCTGCTTATTGAGGGGCTGCATTAATGACCTCATGGGAATCAAAAGGCTGCACCCATGTGTACCAAATGGAGCAGAGAGATCACCACAGGGAGAGTACAGACCCCAGGGTGCATCGTGAGATCTACTGGGTCAGTGGCCTCTGGAGATGGCTTCGTCCTGTCAATGATGTGACTAATTACAAACCATGTTTTAGCATTTGGCTGCCTTTGGGTGATAAAGCATTCCTGAAATTTGGCATTACAACATGTAGCACCATGTCCCTCTGCACACCCACTAGGGACACAGCTAGCAAAAGTTCATCGCTATATTTCACTGTTTTTACACAGTACTGTTGACTGATGGGGTGGGGGGAAGCTCTGACAAGCCTGTGATGGTGGCTTCTTACCTGCAAAACTCGCTTGGTCAGGCCCGTTTTCTGGGCAAGCTGCTTGAGGTCCTTGGCATCTGGATTGTGGTTGATAGCAAAGTAGGACTTCATGGTACGAAGCTGGTGGTGTTTGAAGGAGGTGCGCATGCGCTTGGTCTTCTGGGATGGGGGATAAGGCTGCTGATCTCTGTCCAGGTGATCTGCCTCATTCTCATTACAACCTGAGCAATCAACAAAGCACAGGGAGGAGTTAGTGACAGTGCACCACGCAGGACAAACAAATCAGGGCAAAAGTCCTCCCTCACATACTGTTTGGAAGGAAGGAAGCAAGCGGGCAATGGCTAAGATGGTGCAAGAATAAGTATAGACGTGATAATTAAATGAGACAAATAAGATCCAGAAGATGACCTGTCCCTGTTCTTAAAGCATGCTATGTCCCCGGGCCCATACCTACTCAGCACAGGCTTAGAAAGCTATCCCTCCTTTGGCATTTTTTTTCAAACAAGTCTTCTCCCTGTGGTGATGGTTTTGCTTTGAGCATTCAAGGAGTCATTTGAAATTTCATTCAGATTTTGAAATCTCACTCATTGAAACACTCGTAGGTTGAAAGAAGAATAAAGGTCAAACCAGTGTTTTAAATGTACTCAGGTTTTTCCCCAAATCACAAGCACCTATAGAAAAAGATGTACAGCAGGAAAGTTTGTTTTGACAGCTGACAAGGAAAACATAAAATTTAGATGCTTTTTATTGATAAAATAAATGTGTTTAGACTCTGCCTGGGATTTTAAATAAACTGCTCAAAGATCTTCCTCTGTATAACATCTTTAGAAAGCAGCTGCATCAAGGGTGTCTCAATTCAGTACCTGCAATCTCAATCCGAGTAAACTCTTACGATGTTTCGTAAGAAATCCAATGGTGATTAAGAAACTTTAAAAGAGTTTCCCCAACTGAGCATCTTCAGAGAATCTGTGAAAGATGGACTTGTTTCGGATTGCATCTCCATGGGTGTGAACGGGACCCTGGAGCTACAGCTTCCCGGGGACTAGAGCATCATTACTTCATACTGGGGACAGGAATAACAGTATTAGCCAGATCTGAGAATGTCATCTGTATTTTCTCTTTGGCTTTAAAAGCAATCAAGTTACTTCAGGATCACATCCTATAATGATGGTTCAGTCACACAAGGGAAATTTGATGATGTCATAACAGGGAGGAGTAATTAAAGAACAGTTGATTTAAAATGTTTCAGATGGTATGCAAACTAGCCCAATTTTCATTAGCTGTTCATTTAAATTTTTGAAGTGCTTTTTAATAGTTAGTGGATTTATTTACTAGGCTGATCCGCATTTCTCACCAAAAACAGCAACAACAAAAAGGGAGACAGAGAGGCAGGACATAATCCTGAGATACTGCAAGACACTGGTGCTGACGGTGCTAAAAGCGGAGACAAAAGCACTTGAAGTATGAGAGAAAACAGAAAAACTTCTTAAAGGTATTTTCTCTTTTGAATTTTAAGAGAAGTCAACACGAACACAGGCTGGTAGGAGTTTGACAGTAAATCAAGTGAATATTTAATTATATTGTTTGCTCCTCGGCTTGCGAAGAGCTATCTCTGTACATTCAGGCAAAGTAAGTTGGCACCTCTGAAAATCCCAGAAGCTGGAAGTTGCCTGGAAATCAATTTCGGAGCAGGTTTGGGCTGTATTTATAAGTGGCGCGCAGCAGCCCGCGAGCGGCGCTGACCGCTCGCGCCTGCTGCGGGCTTCGCTTCTCCGAGCTGCTGCTTTGCCTGATACTTGCTTTATTTTGGCTTATATTTTCCAGAGAAAGTGGCAACGGGGCCCAAAACATCTTCAGACAACCCTATTTCATCACGATTAGACCAATATGTTTTACATGGGCAAACAGCGTTATGAACAGCACTAGGTACTTTTACCATATAGCTGTGCAAAAATCCACGCTATTGCCTGGGGAACCTAAACATCGAGCACGAGATTAGGACTCATTTCTGTGCAACAGGATTAGGGGGGTTGCTTGTTTTATTTTGTTTTGGAAAGAGCCAGAACTGTTTGGCTTTCCTTGCCAAGAGGTCTTCAAGTGAACTCTTCATAGTTTTGCACATACATATGTATAATGAAATAAACAGTTCTTTGAGTAGCATCTGGGTAAAATATTTTCCTAGGGAAATCTTCTTCACCATCTCATTTCTATATCCTGTGGGCTGTAAGTCAACACAGTTTCCCTCAAAATACATATTGATTTTATGATATAAGAGGTAATATAGAGAAGGCTTTGAATGTTTTAAGTACTTTTGAATAGTTTCTTCCATTTTTTTTCACATTAATTCCAGCCTATTCAAGCGTATGAATGTTTTTTTACTTCATAGCACTTCGAGTTATTTATTGTTGTCTTTCCATTTTACAACGGAGGAGTTGCGAAGCAGAAATTAAGCTCCCGAGCAAAACACAACATAGAAATCTGGTTGCAGCGCCGGCAACAAAACCTCGTTTTCCAGACTGACCCCGCGCTCTGCTCCCCTGAAACAAAATACGAAGCAGACCCTGAGGATACAGCGGGGTTTGTGCGTGGTTGGGGCAGGCTGTGAGCTCGCAAGTCCGCGCTCCTTGAACGGGCTGCGCGCCGCGGCTCCGCGCGCTCCCGCCGCCCAAGAGAGGGCTCGTCCGTGGTCGTTCCGCAGGGTGCTTGGGGAAGAGAGGCCACCCAATCTGCGGAGGTTCGGGGAGGTGACTTTGTTGGACTTGTTTTTCTGCCTGGGAAGCACTTACATCTATTGCAAGGTCTTTCCTAGCTGTCCCGATTGCTTTTCCTTCCCTGGACCCGCAGCACGGTTGGTCAGTGGGCTGGGATCGTTTACAGTGGGTGCCCAGTTTGGCCATAAACTGCATTTTCCCGGGACCGTGTATCAAGGATGCACACTGCTAGATAATGCTTTAAATAAAGAAATATATAAACAGGGCTCTAAATGATCAAATGCCCCGGCTCTCTAGGCTGAGCCGAAAGCAGCAGAGTAGAGCAACTTTTCTTTCCCCCTCTTTCCCCGGAGTAACCTGTGAGCTCGTTGAGAGAAGCTGCATTTTATACGGGCAGAACTTTTTAGTCTGCTCTGGAGCCAGTGCAACATCTCAGAGCCCCCCAGTGTTACCAGGGGGGCACTTTCTGGACGACCTTACGAAAACTACGGCGGTGTTCAAAAATACTGTATCGCTGGAGTCCTGTCATGAAGCTTAATGAGATTTATCATATCTACAAGTTTTAATCTGTCTCTGAATTTCTGATCCTAATTCTACCGGTGAATTGCCTCTGTAAATACACATTTCCGTCTCGGAGCGCGGCTGTTTGGGCGCGTGTGTGCGAACTAGCAACATCGCGCAGCTAGAAGCAAAGCATACAGGAACTGCACGAGTGTGGGACTGAATGCACTGGCCCGCTACTGGTTCCCTTTTCTTCAGCAGCTTTCAGGGCTGATTGGGAACCGCTCCGTAGCCAGGGATTCCAATGTCATCTTCAATTAACACAGAACAATTAGCGCAGTGATTACCCCGGCTCCGAGGTCTACGCATCAGAGGAGATGAAACAGCCTCGCAGAGCTCCCCAGTTCCCACTAAAGCCCGCTGCACAAACGGCCCCAAAGGAGGGGCCGGGGGGAGGTTTGGGGGGTTGGTGCTTACGAATCTCGGTGGCGGTGAGGAGGGAGGGAGGGCAGGAGGCAGCCCGGGGCCGCACCGGTGCGGGCGGCGAGCGGGGGGGCTCGGCCCCAGCGCAGCCCCCGCTCCGCTTTCGCCCAAGCCTATTTTTTAAACCGGTAGCTTTTTCGCTCGGATTTAACCGCGCCGCTTCTCGTCCTTAGTCTAATGCAACCCCGTTGCAACGGCCCTGCCGCCAGCCCGTAACATTGTGTGCGTGGACACAGTTAGGGAACTTGGGTGAGTAGAGGCAGAGAAGAAATTTAATACGGGACATCACTCACCCCGTTTCCTGCTGCTAAAAGAACAGAAAACTTTCCTGCTATTTTCGTTTGCTAGGGTTCCATTACAGGCAAAGATATTTATTCGTTGACTTTTTGATTCACTGTGATTATTTAAAACGGGATTATTATTTTGTTTGAATAATTCATTACTGTGAATTGGATATCTTTGTTGACTCACTTGCATATTCCACTGGCTCTTTAGGAGTCACAGTGATTTTCCCTCTAGATTTTTTTTTTCTGCTGACCCGTTTAGGTCTAAATGGTGAAGCGTTGGTAATAACATACAACTAACCATAAGAGTATCTCTGGGATTCCTACAGAGAGCTACGCTTTCTTTTCTTTCTCTCATTTTTTTAAGGGGGTGGAGGAGGATGATCTTTACTCTGGGAAGTGGCCGAGTCGGGATGTGTGACACTAACAGGCGACGGCAGCCCCCGAGGAGGGCTCCCCGTGGCTCCCCCGCGACGCGCGCTTCCCTTCGCGCTGCGGCCGGGGCCCCACCTGAGCTGTAGGTGACGATGTCCACTCCCAGGGCCGGGCTCTTTCGCTTGCGGGGCCTGCCCTTCTGCACCGTGCCCGTGCCGTTGAAGTAGGGCAGGGCCAGCCCGCCGCTCTTGGCAGCCAGCTCCGTGTAGCTCAGCTGGGGCGGATATTCTCCTTGCAAAAGCGACTCGAAGTGCGCTCTGCAGTAAACCAGGTTGTCTTTCATGCCGAAGTGGTCGCCCGTGGTCAGAGTCTTGTTACACGTGGTGCAGGTGAAGCAGCTCAGGTGATAAACCGACTCCCTGGCTCTCATGACCATTTCAGAGGCTGAGATCCCAAGGTGGCAGCGGGCACATCTCTGCACGGAGAACCTTCTGAAGGAAACACAAGCGTGGGCATCAGCTGGCAAGGCAAAGGATGAGCCTGCCCCGGTGGGACTTTTGTCCCGCGGAAGCTCCCGCGGGGCGAGTGCCCCACGCAGAACGGAGAGGCGCGGGCAAATCTGTGGGCGCACTCGCTTCCAAGCTCGGCGGGGTGCGGGTGAGGCGGGGAAGCGTATCCCCGCGCGGGCTCCGCGGGGAAGGGGAGCCGCGCAGAGAGGGGGCTCTGGCCCCTCTCTGGAAGGGGCTATGGAAGGCTACGAGAGCAGCAGGAGACCCGTTTGGTTGCACAAACAGGCTAATCGGGGTGTCTGTTGGCGGCTCGCTCAGCGTTTTTTACGCGTGGGTCTTCCAAACGGGACCCGTTTGTAACATTAGGGAGCCTCGGAGCCACCTTTAGAAGCCCACGTGGAGAAGATCGTTTGGGTTCGTAATGTGTGGATAGGGGAAGTGCCTTGGGAGCCACGGGGCCGGTCTCTGTACCTGTAGTAATCCTCCTTGCAGTAAATACTGCCGTCCTTGGCAAAGCAGGTGAGCTCTGACTCCAAGGCCAGTTTACATTCACAGCACTTAAGACACCTGAGGTGCCACTGTTTGTCCACAGCCAGCAGGTAATATCTGTCCGAGATCTTCCCTCCACAACCAGCGCACAGGGCGGGCTTCTCGGGACTCAGGGGGGGCATGTTCTGCAAAACAACGACGCGGCCGTGAGGCAGGCGGGGGGCTGCCCCGCGGGGGCCCCGGGCTGGGCAGCCTTGAAGCCGTTCCCGCTGGACAAGTATCTACCAGGATTCAGCTTTCGTGTTTATGCCATTAAACCTCTCCTAACGATCTAATGTAATTTCAATGCGCACAGACAAAAGATTAGGCCTCACTAAGGAAAGGAGACGCGGCTCTTTCCCGAGTTCCCCAAGTTAAAGTCTGCGTCTTCCCCGTTTCTTTCACATTTTAATCGGTGGTGTTCCACGAGAGTGGCATTTTACGAGTGGGAAAACATCGTTTTGCTGCGGCAGAAGTTTGTAGCGGAGGTTCACGCTTGCATCGATATCCTGGTAAATTTTGACCCGCGTTTTAAGCAGACAAAACCACATCCCCAGGAAAACAAACAAAACAAAGCAAAACAAAACAAAAAGTAACTTAAAGCAGAGGCAGGAGAAGGGAGGCGGGTGGGCTGTGTAAGGAGCAGAGACTCCGCTGGGCCCCGCTGCCGGGGCCTGGGCCGGGTCGGTGGCACAGACCGAATCCAGCCCAAAGCAGCTGCTGCTCTCGGAGCCGCCGTCAATGGGAGCGGCGCCGGGACAAAGGGGCCGGAGGGGGAGCGCGGACAAAAGCGGCGACGGCTTGCTCGGGCGGGCAGCCCGCTCGTGGAGAAACTGCAAAACCCGCCAGCATCTCTCCGTTCCAAAGTCGTGTTTGTTTCCCAGTCAGAAGTTGTGTTCCTCGCCCGTTCCTGCAGCGAGCGAAAGGGCGCGTTAAATGCGCACTGCAGATGGTAACACAGCAAGGGTTGATGCCGGGCGCGGGCAGGCTCTTCCTCGCAGTAAGCGGGGAGCCGCTTCCCAGGCACTCGCTGCGGGCGCAGCGGAAGCCCTACAAGTTGGAGCGGGGAGCGCTCGCTCTGCACGAAACGCGCCCGCTCCGCCATCGGACCTTGCAAGCGAGCAGGGAGAGGAGAGGTTGCCGCGAAGCAAAATATTCGCCGGGCATAACACTCAAGAGGGTAAAGCCTCTTTGTATCAACCCCCCACTTGAGACCAAAAATGGGCAGGAGAAGGAAGAAGCGGCTGTTTGCGGTTTGATTCGAAGGCGCCAGGAGCGCAGCTCTGGGCCGGGCAGCGGCTACTCTGCTCGGCACCACATCCCGGCCCAGCTGAAGCTCGGGGAAGTTTCCTCCTACCCAGACGAGCAGCCGCAGGAGCGGCTCTTGCACCCGCGCGTGAGGAGACTAGTCGGCCCTAGTCCCGAGGCCGCGGGAAGGGTCGCGGAGCGGCCTCTTCCCGCCCCGACTTGCGCACTGTCCCGCTGCGGGCCGCACTTGCAGCCATCCCCTTTCCAAGGGGGTCGGCCTCTCTCTTACCGTTTCCCGGCCGTTCATCTGTCCCCCTTTGGCCAGGCGGGACTCGGTCTTGGATCTCCTCTCCATCTCCTCCATGATTCCTTGGATGTGGCCTCCGGAGATCCCGTGGAAAAGCATGGCTGGGGGACGGAAAGGACAAGTATTTTCTTCTGCTCTGCACCCCACTATTTCCATATACAGACCCCAGAGTCTTTAGATCATCCAAAATGTTTACACCGAGGCGCACGGCGCAGGGAGAGAGGTTGCAATAGGAGCTTCTCTTTGCACAAGCACCAAGGGCTTCCTGAAGATGTGCAGAAAACAAACAAGGGGGGAAGAAAATGTAATAATAATTAATTAAAAATAAAATAATAAAGCCGAGCTAATGGATCTGTTATTGTTCTGGAGAGCTGGGGCTCCTGACTGGAGAGACTTGGACCTGGGATAGCAAAATCGGTCAGGAAAGGATATAGTTTTGAATACAAAGAAAGCAAAAAAGAAGTGCTATTTTCAGCCGTCCCTGGTTCCTTTAAAGTTCCCAGTGCCTGTAGGTTGGATTTGGGACTGCTGCTTTCCGGAGCTCTGTCCAATTTGTTAAGAGACTTAGAGCCAGCCCATTTTTGATAATTTAGTAGGAGGAGTCCTCTCCCTTGAGCTGCCACTGATTTTTATTCAGACAACAAAGACCTGTCATCCTCCCCTCAGCCCCTCGGGGTGGGCGA